AGCCTTGGGCGGAGAGTGGAATGTGTGCGTCTCCGCGCAGGGGAGAACGGAGGAAAACCGAGAGCGTTGTCTTCTCAAGATCCCCGAAAACAGCCCCGCGAAAGCCCCGCAGACTTTTTATAAAATCAGCACATATATTCTAGTATTAATTCGTAGAGAAGATTTCTCAAGACCCGTTGCATGACGTATCGAAAGAATAGCAACACGGGACTGGACGGAGCATTCCGAGCATCTTTCTTGGGCGATCGTGGGGTGGAGGTCGGATTTTGTTTTCGGGGAGGGGGGGGGTTTCGTTTTGATTTCTTCATTATTTTTTGAGTAGGTGCTAGAATCAGGTTCACAACTTAATGCAAGCCACTGTGCATAAAAGAAAACAAAAACACTCGATTTATATATATATATATGTGTATACTTAAAGCAAGAGTTGCAAGTAGGTGGCGGAACAACCTCTGAAAAATCCAAGTGCTATAACCAGAAATTTTAAAGAAAAAGAAAAAAAATCTACTTTTATTTTAATACATTGTAGGAAAACTTCATAATTTTAAAGAGAGCTTTGCAGCATGGCTTTTTAAGTCTTGTAAATAACTTTTTTTTGGGGGGGGGGGGTTAGGGCTTGAAATAAATACTTATTATAATCTCCGCCAATCCCTGGTTCCTTCCGTCCCCTCCCCTCCACGGCGTCACAAAAACGGTCCCTTCCTTCCTTCCTTCCGGGTGTTGACAAGAAGACAGAGTTGATTTTTTAATATAAGAGGAATATATATAATTATCCCTTTAATTAAAGGGGGTTTCTGCAAGGGGGTGGGGAGGGGTCCCTCATTTCACCGTGGTTCGGTCGCAACAGAATAAGCATTACGAGGAGTTGCAGGGATAACGACGTTTCATTTTTTCCTCCCGTGCGTATGTGTGTGTTGTCCTTTTCATAATTTAATTCCTTTGTTCCATGGATATCAGAATTGTCTGCCGTTCCGGTTGCTGGTTTGGTCGTATTTCCGTTGCCCGGTTGCTATGTATGCGGTACATTCCTGCAGTCAAGTGACATGTTTTCACGAAAGCTTTCCGCAACTCTCTTTCACCTTCTCTTCTTCCACTACAAGCACTTTTCTTTGAAGCAGGAGTTGTGATGGGGTTCACAGCTTTCAGGGAAAGGGCCTCTTCTGCAATGGCTAGAGTATGGTTTTGGAAAACTGCAAAGCTTTCTATCTGAATGGGGGGAAAAGTATCTTGGAAAAAAACTTCCCCAAAATATCAAGACATGGTGATGTGGAAGCTTTCCTTCCTTCCCTTTCCTTCCCTTCCTCCCTATTTCCCTCCTTCCTTCTCTCCCTCTTTCTCCTTCA